TCTTTGAATTGCTTCCCAATTGCATAAATTTCTTTGGTATGCAACATGAGCTGATTCTAACAGGATTCCTAAATAGTTAAGAAAATCATAATATTTAAATAAAGTTAACCCCCCAAATTTGTACAATGTTTCAATTTAAAAAACTAATTAATTAATTAATTTAATTAGCTCTGTTCTAAACTTATTACTGGTAGGAGGTGTGCACAAATTATTCTTCACTTCCAAAAGAGCAATTAGGAAAATTATTGAACCGTTAAGAAAACACATGCAACTTTTAGTGGACAACAGCAAAATAGTGGTTAAATAAGTGTACCCATAAAATAAGCCTTAAGTAGTAAATGTGCTCTTGAAAAACGAATTGATTTCCTTTGCCAACTTCTCACCAGAGGTAAATTTAAATGTTCAGTATTTGGATCATAAAACGAGAATAAAACGATCAAAAGGGGGGAGCTAGAGAGTATCAGTAATAAATACTTATTGAGCAACTACTATGTGTCTAGAAAGACCTTTAGGGTATAGAGGTATGTCACCATTAAGATCAAAACCAAGTTTTAAAGAGAAATATAGCCAGGAAATGCCAAACAGTATTGCTCACTTGGAGTGGTTAGGGAAGATGCTAAGGAAAGAAGGAAAGGATAGTTTGACTGATAAGGAAAGAGAGAAAGGAGAGGAAAGGGATCTTTGCAGACAGGAGTAGCCATAGACCTAAAAGAGAACTGCAAGCTCCAAATTGCCCTTGTGGGTTCTGAGAAATGGCTGCAAAAGCATGAAGGGAGGAGAGATGAGAGTAAATGCAAGAAAGAGAAATACCATGTTTCAAGAACTATTCCTTCTTTTCTTCATTTGACAAGTATTTATTGAGTACTTACTACTAGGAACTAAGAACAACTCGGGACCTTGGGTATGTGAAGAAAAACTAGTTAAAGGAAGAAGACACACATGTTTAAACAAAAATGTCAGGAAGGGGATGGAAAGAAAAAAGAGAAAATCTGTAATATTTTTATAGTACAAATTCTTCACCTTTTTCTAAATGGTCACTATTTGTTTTTAAGCTTGTTATTGTCACATTTACTTATTAACTTCTTAAAGTTTGACCTGTACTATGTACCCTCATGTTAAATTAATCAACTTAATTTATTGACAAGTAAAAAGTGTGATATAGCTTCTCATTTCAAAACAAGTCAAAACTTCACATATTTAGAAGAATATACCTCATCGGAAAAAACTGAGTCCAAAATATGTGTTATAGGAAAAGAACAGAATTTTCAAAAGATTCAGATATAGATTTGTTGCAAATCTCATAAATTTCCCTCAGCAGTCACCTCTTCTCATTCCAGTCTTCTTGCTATTACTCTGTCACCGCTATAAATATCACACTCACCTCTGGTTTTTCCCTCTCCCAGTACTGATTCTGTATAATATTTCTTTTGAAAAGATTCGTATTACCTTTTAATTCTATTTTTCCATGAACTTTTTGAAGTTCCCTTGTATATTTGCATATTGCCCACTGACATTACCTATTAGCCCCAGACCTTATTCCTTCTCTAATTAATGTAATTGTTTTTATTGTTTCCTTCTGCCAGTCATTGAATTTTGAAGCCAGAGGGGACTCTGCTTAGAAATGTAGCCCTTAAAGCCATCATGTCCTCTGCTTCCTGATCATTGCTCCTGAAACAGGCTCTTACTGTGTTCTCTGATCAAAATCTCTCCATGGCTTACCACTACCTACTGAACACTGTCCAGGCTCATTTGTTGAGCATTTAAGGCCGTCTATGCAATTTTTTAAAGGTCCCAGTATGTTTTTTTTAACCTTATATTTTTCATTTATTAATTCAAAAATGCTTTTTGAGCACCTCTGTAATTTGAACTGTGCTAGAGGCTTGATACACAAATGAACAATCACAGCCCTGTCCTCTAGCAGCCCTCAGTTTCATGGGGGGACAAGTACACGAATAACTCATTATGTGTTGACAGCAGTGGTAACCGAAGCTGCCCAAGGAGCACTGGAGTCAGGCACCCAATCCTGCTATCTGGCTGACTTTGCTTCATAATGTTGATTAAACTATCTTCTGTAACTGAAATATGGCCCACTCTTGTCAATACTCCATGACTTGGTTCATGGTGTTTTTTCTCTGTGGGATGTCTTTTCTCTGCTTTGCTGTATACCCCAAAGGTATGTCATCTTCCAAAGACTAGATCAGATGCCAAATAGTGCATGAAGTTTTCCTTAGCCTTCTTCTTCAATGTCTCTCATTTGAATTCCCATGGCACTTTATCATAGTTCCTGTCTCAGTCTGATCACATCTTTGCCTGTATTAGAGTTTATTATCAATGCCTTACCACCACCGTTTCTTCAATGTCTCTCATTTGAATTCCCATGGCACTTTATCATAGTTCCTTTCTCAGTCTGATCACATCTTTGCCTGTATTAGAGTTTATTATCAATGCCTTACCACCACCGTCTGCCTCTTAAGAGCAGCAACTAGGACGTATATTTATATATTTCTAGATACATAAGCCTAAAAAGAATAATAATAACTCACAGGATTGGTGATCAATGAATGTTCCCAGAGCTAAAAAAAAAAAAATAGAAAATAAATTGTACAGCAAACTCAATTGTAAAATAGAACAGCAGAGGGGACTGACTATACAAATCGACCCTTCTACACTTGTGGTAAAACTACTACAGAATTTACATAAATGAATGCAAAAATTAGTGACAGTAGGGAGGAGAGCTACCACTCACAGATAGGATCCCCAGGCCCTGAAGGGGTTAAGCAGATTTATACACAAGGAGGAAAATTGTCCTTCATTTGCCTTCACTAAAGACTAATTTTAGGACTTTTGGTAATTAAGTGAGCACATTGTTTACACTCCATACACTTTCGGCCCTGAGACTTGGAAAAATACAAGAAATTTCCAAGAATTAAAGTTTCCATTAACACAAGTGCCAAAATCAGGAGGCTTGACCTGTGGGAGAAAGCACATTTGTCTTTTGCTGGCTCCTTTTCAAAAAGCTATAGAAGGATATTTACTGTATAACCTTTCTTGTGCGCAATTGCACTGTTTTATCATCAGACATCTAGACAAGAGGAGAAGCTGCAACATATCAGAAAGCAGCCATTTACTGAAGACCGAATGACCTTTCCCTGCTAACGTGCTGAAGCGGTCCCTGTTTCGGGTAAAATTTCTTCATCGTAAGAGACTGCAAGCGGTTTCCTTTTTTCTTTTCTTTCCTTCCCTTTTTTCTGTCGTTTTTTTTTTTTTTTTTTTTTTTTTTTTTTTTTTTTTTTTTTGGTGTGTGTGTGTGTGTGTGTGTATGTGAGAGAGAGAGAGAGAGAGAGAGAGAGATATTCCCTGCGAACTGCTTCGGCTGCTGCAGAAAGAGTTTACTATGGTGGGTTTCAGCACATCTCCCACCTGTATCACACCTACCAGGTGGACATTTAATGTAAATAAATGTGTGCGCACACCGCTTGAATGCCTCAGAAGGGTATTTTCTGATCTCTCTGCTTTTACTCATTCCGAAGTAACCCAGTTTATCTATTCAGGTTGCAAAATTAAAAAAAAAAAAAAAATCTCTTTACGTCAGTGAACTTGGACTCCGAAAATCCTCTCCCCTGAGCATAGAGCCTTTTAAAGCCTTGCGTGTCACGCTGGCGGCAGGGGGTCGCGGCTCCTGGGAAAGAGCCGGCTCTGCAGGTCCCGCCCTCCCGCGGGCCGCCTCCCTACCTCTCCCGGACTCGCCTTCGCCCCCTCGCATCCCGTCCCCACCTCCGCGACATCGGCGGCCCCAGGGGTCTGGCGCGCGTCCAAGCCCTAACGGGGCGGCTGACTTGTGGAGCATCGTCGCCGAGCTCGTCTGCCCCCAGCCCCTCCTCCACCCACCGCGGCGGCCCAGGGAGGGGAACTGAGCGGGGGGAGGGGAGGTCCACACCCGCCCCCCTTCCTCCAGCCCTCCCCGCGTTCAGATTCAATTGCACCTTTTATTATCTTAGCTCTTCTTCTTAGGATCTGTCCCTCCGGCCCTGGCGGCCCCCGCTCCCGCGCGCCGGGATGGGAGAGCAGGGGACCCGGCCGCCGCCCGCCGGCGTGTGCGGGGACTTGTGGCCGCCGCGCCCACGGCCCGGAGTCTGTAAGTTTCTCCGCTCCTCCGGGGAAGGGAGGGGGAAGCTGTCCGCGTCCCCGAAAGTGATTTCAAATGCAAAAACACGGCGGAGCTTTGCAGTGCTGGGCAGACTTTTCGGGGCACGCTCCTTTAACTCTACAGCAGCTCGCAGGCGATGGTCCGGGTCTCTCCTGCAGCTCGTACGTTTGATCCCTTCTTCGTAAAGTTTCCAATGTACAGTATTATGAGTTCCATAGGAAGGCTTTTTGTCTCTTTTTAATGCACCTCCTACTTCCTTCAAATTTAAAATAATTTTTCATAATTTTCAAGTTTCATAGCACATCGCTTATTATTTTGTCGGGTTACACTTAACATGTTATTTATACTGCGCAAGGGGCCACGGCCTTTTCCTTGCCTATTTCTAAAAATAACGGAGGGACAATTTTTGCTCTTTACTTTTAATATTGCTGCATCATCTAAATACTTTAGCAAGTAGATCGTGTACCCAGCTGGCCTTAATTTTTGTCCCTGACGCCGCGTGCTTGTACCCTTGCACTAATCTGCACACGCAGTTAATCGCACAGAGTTGTCTTTGAGCCTGCTGTTTACAAGAAGGCTCCTGGGACTGTTTAACTAAGGCTATGCCCATATGTGTTCAGAGTGATAAGAATAATTGAAATCGTTCCCCCGGGTCATACCACATCATTTCTCTGGGATCCCAGAAGTCAAGCACAGGCTAGATTTGTGTCTGGATTAATAAAATCGTGCCTTTAGTTTCACGTGTTACCTCGCCTTTGTAGACATATCCCAGAATACAAGGACTAAAGAGGTGAGGAAATGAAGTTGTTGTTTTGCTTTGCTTTGCTTTTCAAGTTCCTGATCAACGTTTCCTTCGTGCAGGAGGACGGGTCTCAAGGGAAGGAGAGGCAGGTCAGAGGCAGGTGGCTAGGCTGGCTATGGTGACGGGAAGATGCTGGCTAGAAAGAGCATCATCCCGGAGGAGTATGTGCTGGCGCGCATCGCGGCGGAGAACCTGCGCAAGCCGCGCATCCGAGACCGGCTCCCCAGAGCCCGATTCATCGCCAAGAGCGGGGCCTGCAACCTGGCACACAAGAACATCCGTGAGCAGGGACGCTTCCTGCAGGACATCTTCACCACCCTGGTGGACCTGAAATGGCGCCACACGCTGGTCATCTTTACCATGTCCTTCCTCTGCAGCTGGCTCCTCTTCGCTATCATGTGGTGGCTGGTGGCCTTTGCCCATGGGGACATCTATGCTTACATGGAGAAAAGTGGAATGGAGAAAAGTGGTTTGGAGTCCACTGTGTGTGTGACTAACGTCAGGTAAGAATGCAGTAGGATGAGACAGGGGGTGAAAGCAGTGCAGAAAAAATATCAAAATGCCCTTTCTCTTATCATTCTGTTATTTTGTTGGAAGTGAAATAAAGGGTTTGTTTTAGAACCTTCCAGAAACAAAAAAAAGCAAAAGAAAGGAAAAAAAAAAACACAAACACATTAAAAATCTTTTAAGATGCAGCTTTGTAGATGAAGAGTCTGAAAATGTAGAGCTTCAATCCTTTGGACTAGCCTTGAAAATATTGTCAGTTATTAAAAAATGATTGTAATTCAAAGGATTACACAGAGTGCCTTACTCCGAAAAAGCACATATTTAGTTTTCAGTAGGAAAAAGCTGCTGTCCATAGTTCCAGTGTCCACATGTAAATATCTCTAATCAACAAAAAATACTGTGCAAATGCTAGTAATATTTTCCCCTGACTTCTCTTACCCATGACATTTGCAGAAATAATAAAGATGGGAAGACACGGGAGAGAGGGGTATCCCAGGTTTAAAATCTACTAAAAATGAAATAACTTAAATATGAACCCTTCTTTATCAAGATTATCTTAACATAGCTGATTGCTTGCATTGGATTTAGAAGTTAAAAGTTATGCTAAGAATAAGAAGTAGAAAACACTAATGATAATGAAAATTGGTCCAAAATTTTCATGGAAGGGATTATGTTGCAGTCTTCCTTCAGAGTTTTGATAGAATAAGAACAAAATTCTTAGATTACCTAACTTTAGTTTCTCTCTCTTATAAGAGAGAGAAGATAAGTAAAAGTGAATTTCAAAGGTAAGTAAAGTGAATTTGTTTTCAATAATTCTCCTCCTCTTATACTTTCACAGGACCTAAGAATACTTAGTTGGGAGGATTTGTCTCCTAATGTGTTCTTTTTGTTGGAAGATGAAAAGAGATAATATATATCAGTTGCAAAAATGTTCACTCTGAAGCGAAACAATAGTAATAATACTGGAAAATTGTCAGGACATTTTCTGAATGATATTCCACATTCACATAATGCAGAAAGATAAGAAACTTGAACGAACACCACGCTGCCAGGAAACTGTAAAGAATGAGACCTTTAGTGACCCTGAAATCTGATGAAACTAGCATACCACTGTGAGATGCAGACCCGGGAATGTGAACTTGTCTACCCTGCCATTGGCTTAGTAACGGCAATGCCAGCATTTCAAAGAGGGACGCAGCATTAGTGTGCAGCAATCACACACCACAGATTTTAGCCTGGATTTTGAGGAGAGAAAACTATTGAATTGATCCATTGATTTTTACCATTAAATAGATATTATTTTCTTTTTGCAAACTCGTCACAGACTTTTGTCTCAATGAAAATGTAGACAAAGGTGAAAAACATAGATGATCATCAAGTACACAAGTATCTGAAGCTTAAATATCATTATCTATAATATTTCTCTTTAAGAAAATTATGGGCAATGATATTAGTGAATCATTTTTATATCAAAATACATTTTTAATAAATATTCAGTAGATACTGAAGGAGATAAAAGAAATGATAATAAACCTTAAAAATGAATAGCAGATTTTATTCATGAGACAAATCCTTTTCTGTGAAAAAGAAGTGATGAAGCAATTTATTAAATATATACTATCAAAAGTGATACCATTTCTATGATTTTTTTTAAAAAGAATTTTACAGGGTGCACTGGTAATTAAAAGCTGTTTATTACTTCCCTTTATTTTTCAAATAAGATGTGTTCTGAAGCATATTCATTTCCCTGATGCATTCCTACTAGTGTGAACATTAAGTCAGCTATGAGAAATGATGTCAAAAATACAGTGGGACAGGGCCGAGCCTGTGGCGCACTCAGGAGAGTGCGGCGTTGGGAGCGCAGCAGCGCTTCCCGCCACGGGTTCGGATCCTATATAGGGATGACCGGTGCACTCACAGCGCTCACTGGCTGAGCGCGGTGCCATGTGGCCGGTCTCAAAAAGGACAAAAAAAAAAAAAAAAAAAAAATACAATGGGACAAAGTTGGTTTTATCAGTATAACAATTTGAGCATTTTAAACTGCACTTCTTAAAAAAAATTGACAATTTTTAAGGTTGTTCTGTTCTTACTGATTTTATTTTATGTTACAGTGCTGTTTACACATTCATCTCAACATAGTTTCATCCTAACAAACCATACCTAACAAAAAAATTTCACTAAAAATATATAAACAGAAAATCTTTATTATCTTCCAAAGGGAATGTAAAAGATTGCTAATAATAACTCTAACTCTTTACATTTCCTTTTGTGAGTTTAATAATGTCCAGCCATATCATCAAAATTGGAAACAACTTTCTTCAATGGATATGCACTAGTATTTCCAATTAACCTTTGACCATTCTCATTGTAGTGACTCACTTTCTCTTTCGTGTAGATGACTTTCTAATATAAGTTAGAAAATAGACCAACATATTTCTTCTTTCTCATTATTTTTCAGCCTCACTCTTTCTGTAGCAGAGCTGAGCAGCAGCTAAACACTTTTACCTGTTGCGATTGTTTAGCATGACAGGTGTCTGTAAAACACTTGGCCTTGCACCAACTATCCTGTTTAGAATTAAATTCCTTCATTAAATACTATGTGAAATACAGCACATGAATAGTCTCTCAAACCATTAAGACAAAACATTTGGGGATATTCATCATTAGACTGCTCTCTGAAGTATGGATGCATTATTAGAAAACAAAGTCATATTTAGGTTCCTCCTATAGGGTCCTGTCACCTCTCCCAGGGCAACAGAGACGCAAAGGGTTACTCAAAGCCCATTTCTCCAGAGCAGTGAGAGGCCCGAAGTGGTTACCCCCAGCAAGAATTTGCAGAGCAGAAAGATCCGGGAGTAACTTTACTTTATTAATGTTGGCATCCTCCACAGGGTCCCTTCCTATTCTTTGCTGTATTTTTGGACTACACCATGTAGACTTGTTGTGTGTAGCTAGTGCAGAAAGCAATTATTATAGTTTTCCGTGAATCTTTTTAGCAAGAGAAAAAGAAAGGGAAAAAAGGCAACTTTCACACTCCACTTAAAAGCTAATCAAAAGAGTCATCTGTGAATACTTGCTTGCCTCTCATGGTTTCCTGCCAACGTGCATGGGGTATACCAAGTGCTCAAATGTTTGGGCAGTTTGCTCACTCGTGCATGGCATTAATAGGTAGATAACACTTTGACAGATGGCTTGTCTTCTATAAAATTAGAGAAGGTTGAAATTGGAGTCAGGGGCAAAGATAGAACTAATATTACTTTGATGAAGAAGCCACAACATTACTGGATATGTAGCTAAGAGAATAAATTAATAATAAGCAAATATGGTGCTTCTCAACTAGGGGGGTAAATCAGAATCACCTGTGAGCTTTTCAAAAGTGTCTTACTTAGGTCCAGCCTGAACCTACCAAATCAGTGTTTATTCACTAAGATGCGGAGAAGATGTGAACTTGAGAAAGCTTCCCAAGTGTCAGGAAAATCTTGACACTTATAGCCCCTTCCTGTTTCAGAGCACTGGGCCAGAATTGAGAGAATTCAAGTTTGTATGAATTATATGATCTTGACACAGTCATTTACTAATCTCTGCCTCAAATTCTTCCTTTAATAGCTTCAGTATTCTCTAGATCACTTAGAGAACAAAACGAGATAATCGATGAGAAATACTTTTCTTTGAAAAGGAGAAAACATTCTTTAAAAAAAAACTAGTATTTTGGAATGATGTGTTTTGTACCACGTTTTAGCACTGTGCTTTCTCTATATAAGGTAGACAATAAGTGTTAGCTAACAAATCTGATTTTAAAGGTTATAAATAACAAAAAGTTCACTCATTACTCAGTACCTTCCATATGACTCAAGTCTCTTAAACACAGATAAGCCAAAAATGATAAATATCTACCAGGTAGAAAGTTTCACAAAGTAAACCATGACTTTGTTAAAGTATTTCGCAAAGTAAAAAAACCATGGCTTTAAATATAAATATGTATATTTATTGTATCAATGCTTTTACACAATTAGGTCCATCACTATGTGACCTAGAAAACATTAATAAAATTGAATCCCAGAAGTCCAGAGGTAGATGCGTGCAGAAGAGAGAGAGAGATGCACACACACATGCACTCACCATGATTGTGTTTAGAATTAGGTATCTGGCAAGTTAAGTTGACTAGTCTTTCCAAAAGCATTTAATAGCCTTCGGAGGAGGAAGATGAAAAGTTCGGCTTAGCATGTTATTTCATGATACTAAATTTGACCTGATGGCATTGTTTTTTGATATCATTCCTTACAGGTCTTTCACCTCTGCTTTTCTCTTCTCCATTGAGGTTCAAGTAACAATCGGATTTGGAGGGAGAATGATGACCGAGGAATGCCCTCTGGCCATCACAGTTTTGATTCTCCAGAACATTGTGGGTCTGATCATCAACGCGGTCATGTTAGGCTGCATTTTCATGAAAACAGCCCAGGCTCACAGAAGGGCAGAAACTCTGATTTTCAGTCGCCATGCTGTGATTGCGGTCCGAAATGGCAAGCTGTGCTTCATGTTTCGAGTGGGTGACCTGAGGAAAAGCATGATCATTAGCGCCTCTGTGCGCATCCAGGTGGTCAAGAAAACCACCACCCCCGAAGGGGAGGTGGTCCCTATTCACCAACTGGACATCCCTGTGGATAACCCGATTGAGAGTAATAGTCGCCATGCTGTGATTGCGGTCCGAAATGGCAAGCTGTGCTTCATGTTCCGAGTGGGTGACCTGAGGAAAAGCATGATCATTAGCGCCTCTGTGCGCATCCAGGTGGTCAAGAAAACCACCACCCCTGAAGGGGAGGTGGTCCCTATTCACCAACTGGACATCCCTGTGGATAACCCGATTGAGAGTAATAACATTTTTCTGGTGGCCCCTTTGATCGTCTGCCATGTAATTGACAAGCGCAGTCCCCTGTATGATATTTCAGCCACTGACCTTGCCAACCAAGATCTGGAGGTTATAGTTATTCTGGAAGGAGTGGTAGAAACTACTGGCATTACCACACAAGCACGAACCTCCTACATCGCTGAGGAGATCCAATGGGGCCACCGCTTTGTGTCTATTGTGACAGAGGAGGAAGGAGTGTATTCTGTGGATTACTCCAAATTTGGCAATACTGTTAAAGTAGCTGCTCCACGGTGCAGCGCCCGGGAGCTGGATGAGAAGCCTTCCATCCTTATTCAGACTCTCCAAAAGAGTGAACTGTCCCATCAGAATTCTCTGAGGAAGCGCAATTCCATGAGAAGAAACAATTCCATGAGGAGGAGCAACTCTATCCGAAGGAACAACTCTTCCCTCATGGTGCCAAAGGTGCAATTTATGACTCCAGAAGGAAACCAAAACACGTCAGAATCATGACAGCGAGACAACTTCAAGACTGCCTTTTATCACGTGTTGATGATTGATGCCAGGTACTGTCAAACTGAACCAGAGCTGGCACACAATGATTTGTCTTTCTCCATTTTAATGCACTAAATGATATTCATATTCAAGCAACAGCACTTTCTGTATTAATAAACAGTAACACACAAAGTGGAGGATTCGTGGCTCACACTTGTCTTGTACATGCAGAATTTGTAGTGATGGCTTAAGTTATGCATAGGAATTGGTACTCTCTCACTTCTCAATTTGAAACCTAAGAATGACATAAACAGTAATAGAACTTGAGTACAAAATTTGGCCTAGGAATGAGTCTGTTTCAAATGCTTAGTTGGTGAAATTTTCTGTCCTATTGTTCATTTTGGAAATGAAAATACAATAGGAGGGGGAAAACCAAACTCATGTTAACACCTTTTGTATATCAAGCTTCTCCTTTCTCCATGATACTGAACCTCGTAAGACGCCTGAGACAAATACTGCTTAGATCTATCTGTTTCTAAGTGGACTCAGTTCATTCACAAGGACCTTCATAATGACTTCCTGACGTTTCCTGGTCCTCTTCGTGGCAGCCTGTTGGGTAGAACTGGGCAAGAAGTCTTTGGAGAATAGCTACGCCCTCTCTTATTTAGCACTGAGTTCCCAGTAGTGACAGTCACTTCCTTTCACTTCTCACTTCCTACAAGCCCCCACAGCTAAATACTGTATTAAATACTTTATTAAAGCATTTCCTTTTTACTCAGCTGTAGTTGTATGATTCCTCTTTCACAAAACCACCCCAAGTTAAAACTCAGGAAAAAACATTTTTAGAGGCATGTGAAAGAGATATCATATAGTGATAAAAGTCATCTCTGAGATTCCTCCCTCTGGGATCTGTTGCGCCAAGAGAACTACATTTTTTTTTGTTTTGTTTTTATTTCATTTCACGTTTAAAACATCCTCTTGGTTTTTCTATCTGAGCCTGATGTAAAAACTCTACAAGCTTTTTTTCTTTGAATCTCCCACCTCCCACCTTAAAACTATGCTTCCTTTCCAGTAATATCTGAATTCAGGCCTGGCATATAGAGATTTAGTATTATTTCATTTGCTAAAATGAAATTTTCTATCAAAACTTGATCTTGTTATTTATAGCTCCTGCTCCTTCAAGGAAGGGATGAATGAGTAGATAGAAGTACTAGGTTAATAAGCTCTGTATGGTTTTATTCTTCTATTTCATGTAGCTGAACATCAGAAAGCTGAGCTATTGTATAGCCTTTTACACAGATGTTGGGGTTTCTATTTATTGCATTTCATTTATGAACACTGAAATAGGCAGGTAGTCATGAACACGTTCAAATCCTGCCTTACACAAAAGACTCATGATTCTAACCAGGTGAATGGAAATTGTTTACCAGGTTATTGAGTTAATCATTCCTGAGAAAGTTCTAATCACTCCTTTGAATTCCAGACTCAGATCAAACAGGTATTTGAAGCTCCACTTAGATATCTAATAAGCATTTAAAATTTATTGTGTCTAAAACCAAATGCTTTATTCCATTCACAAAACCAGCCCCCTCTCCTCAGTCTTCCAATCATTCAGGCCAACACCTGGGAGTCATACTTGCTGCCTCTTTCATACCTCTCATGACACCCATTGGCAAAATCTCTTGGCTGTGCCTTCCAAATATATCCAGAGTATGACCAGGTCTCTCTGTCTCCACCACTTCCTTCACAGTCCAAGCAGGGCTGTTGATCACCCAGTATATATGGATGCAGCTGTATTAATTGTGAGAATATCAAAACATTTCTGTATACGTTCTAAAGAAAATCCACATTAATGAGATTTAGCCCAACAGCAATTACAAAGGTGGATATCAGACCTCCTAGCACTTCTGGAACACATGCGGGGTCCCACCTCCCCATCCCAAGGCAGCTGAGCAGACCAGAAGGCAGCTGCCACACCAGCAATCAGAGCATGTACAGAGCCTGCCTGCCACTCAGTAGCAGCCCAATGTTTGAGGAGCAGGCTGCTGGGCAGGTAATGCTGAGACATAGTCAATAGGGCTGAGATGCAGGATTTCCAAGTCTAGGTAATAAAAAGAATGGCTTGGCGCCAGGGGCAAAGCTAGCCACGGGGCATAGACAGTTCCTCCAGCCACTTTACAGCTGCAACCAAAGGCTGGGTGTCAAAGACCAAAGGACCATCAATTTAATGGGGATGTCGATGGAAGGGTTTGATGGAGCTCCCTATGTCAAGTCATGACTCAGACAGTGACATCATTTAGCTAGTGACAGCCATATCAAACAAAGGATCACATCAACAATTTCTAAAAATTTGCAAATGTTTTAAGGAGTGTTAAATAATGATCTTATGACCTATTTTTGCTAAAATATATTTCACTAGGTAAACAATTTTGAGAACTATATAGTTTAGTTTTAGAAAATAAGAAGACTGACTCCCTCTCTCTCTCTCTCTCTCTGATTTTAACATACTGAATTTAATATTTTATTTTCATTATTTGAAATATATTTCACTAGGTAAACAATTTTGAGAACTATATAGTTTAGTTTTAGAAAATAAGAAGACTGACTCTCTCTCTCTCTCTCTCTCTCTGATTTTAACATACTGAATTTAATATTTTATTTTCATTATTTGGGTTCTCCACTTCTGCCCTAGTCTTCATACAGAAGTCATAATATTTTTTAAATCATAAATCAGATCACATCACACGTCTTCTTAAAATTCATCTATGGCTTTCCATTTTCATCAAAATGAAAACTGAAATCCTTGCCAGGGCCCACAAGCCACTACATCTCCTCTTACCACTCTTCCCCTCAGTCATTCCCGTACTTTACCGAACTGGCCTTTCTGTCCCTTGAAACTGAGATATCTGCGTGGAGCAGCTTCCCCCTGAAAGCCTCACAGTCCTGCCTGTCATTACTTACACTCTGCTGAAGTGTCATCTCTTGAGGCTGTAGAGGATAGTAGTTAAGAAAATGGACCCTGCAGCCAGACTCCCTAGGTTTAAATTTCAATTTCAACATTTAGCATCTGTGAGGCCTTGACAGAATCAACTTCTTTGTGCCTCCTTTTCCCCATATATAAAATCAGAATGATTATAGTATCTACCTCATAAGTTTATTCTGAGGAGTGAGTATGTGAATTAATGTATATAAAGGGCTTAAGGCAGTTTAATTCATTCACCCAGGACAAACACTTGAAATAAAGGACTGCCTTGAAACAAACTGGACTCTTAGTAAATGACTGAGTCATTCAATGCATCACATTTGTTCTCTAGAACAAAGATAAAAGACCTCTGCAACATGAACCTGATCTCTCAAAAATTTTGCAGCAAAGAACTTATATCTGCCCACTCCCAGTTGCTTTTCCCAATTCGTTGACACCTGCCACTTGCTTGTCTTCAAATATTGTCATGTGTAAGATACTACAATATATAAAAGGAAATATTTTGCATACAGAGGAGATTTCTGGTTTCACATGTCTGTTACTTATTTATTTATTTAGTAAAATATATTGAACATCTGCCATGTTTGACATTTACCACCTGGCAAAAATAACTAGGTGTGCTTTTTTTCTTTAAGGAGAAGAAATTGACAGCCAGGGTACATGCTGATTCTGCTCCCATGCAAGCAGAGATGGAAAGACTGGATTGTGAGTCAGAATTGTAGATGTGACACTTGCATCTCAAAATCAAAATCAAAACCTACTCCTAGTTACCAATAGGTATGGGAAGACAGCAGAAGACCCAGAACTGTTGCACATACAGCTTTGCTGAGAGCTGGTGAGAAAATAGAACCTGTTTGTCCTTAGAAGTGTCATTTTTCCCTGCTTTACTTTATTCCAGTATCACAGTTCTATTCCACAATTTCTTATCATTTGCCAGTTAGCACAAGACTCTCTCTGAGTAAAAATCCTGTTGCCCCTGTCACAGACATTTCTAAATATCCCTGGCCAAGTGTTTTGACACATAACTGTGTCTCAGAACCATCAGTGTCACAGTGGCTTAAGGAAATGACCTTAGTTCCCAAACAAAGTGTAACTCCCAGAGAAGTTAGTCACTTAGTGAATATGGAGCAGCATTTTTTACCTTCGATAATTGGAATCATTTTGTTGTTATTGTTTAATGACTTGGCACTCGTGGAGCACGAACTTTCCTCTTTGATAATAAATCCATAATAGATAAAGAAGAAAGAATGAAAAGATAACTACATCTCCCGGGGCTGCCACCCCCAACTTTTGTTATTTTCAGCATGTGGAAGGTAGAGGAAGAACTGAAATTAGTGTCTCCGAGGACCAGTGCATTAAAGTAACCACAACAAATCCTACAGGCTGCTTAAGAGGAAACCCAAGGGCCACGCTCTTCCCATGATCTTTATGCACAGTTCTCATCAATGGTGCTGGGAATTTCCCCACAGACCCAGGAAGGATGTGACTCTAATTACACCCCCTGATAACTTACTACACAGACTCAAGTTTAAGTTCATGAAAACCTTAATCAGCCTTTAAGTTCTGATGGAAATATCACATCAAAGACCAATTTCATTTTAGATTATTTACATCTTTATTCGTACTCTTTTCTGAGAGGTATTCCAGTTCTCATGAAGATTTTCTTGGCTTCATGATATGGCATCCCTCCCTCCACCCCAGTACTCCCTGGGTAATTGGAACAAAACCATTGCGTTGCACAGGGTTTACTTTAATTACTTGAAAAAACAAACAAAAAAAATTAAGGCTGGATTTCCACATACTACTGGATTACTTCAGTGTGCACTGAAAAAGAGGAGGATAAAATAGTTACGTGTAAAACAAGAGCTAAGCTATACTTCTCACTGAAACTGTAGACATTAACAGATTTTTCAAAAGGCTTCAATTAGGCACCACTGACTGTTGAAAAAAGTCCACACTCTTTAAGCATGACAGTTAAGGCTCTGTGGGGTTTGATTCCAACACAGCTTCCAGCCTTGTTTTCTAACCCAACCTCAACACCTTAGGACACTTCAAGTTCATTGAATGTTCTATTCACATTCAGCCTCCCACGCAAAGTCTGCAAGTCGCTGGGGTGGAAATTCTGTTTCCTCTATCTACCAAAACTACTGCTTTCATAAAGCCTTCTCATGGTTTGATTCCAACACAGCTTCCAGCCTTGTTTTCTAACCCAACCCCAACACCTTAGGACACTTCAAGTTCATTGAATGTTCTATTCACATTCAGCCTCCCACGCAAAGTCTGCAAGTTGCTGGGGTGGAAATTCTGTTTCCTCTATCTACCAAAACTACTGCTTTCATAAAGCCTTCTCAGATCCCTCACCTAAATTACTCCTTGTTCATCCCCATCATGTGTACCTCTATTTATTGGTTATTTCACAATAATTGGTATGATGTAGCTTTCTAATATCATATGCATCTCTCCCCAATAGATCAAGCCCTTTTCCCATACTACTTATCACAATGCTTGCCTACAGTAGATGGTGACAGCAGTCTAATAGTTATCTCCCCAAATCTACTCATTCCTTTCTTCATAGCAACAGAGAGTTAGCTGAGCACATGACCCTTCAGCTAGAGATTCTACATTCCCCACCCGCTGTTGCAGTTAGCTGTGGCCACATGCCTAACTGAGTCAATGGGCTGTGAACAGAAACCAATGGACCACTTCCAACAAGAATTTTAAGATTTTAAAGCCCTGAGGTTATGTTTCTCCACCTCTTTCCCCTCCCATGAACTGGGCACATACGTGATAG